ATTAGAGAAGGCTAAAGAGGGGGTTAAGAGCCATTCAGGTAGAGTCGAATTGCCAGAAGCTGATCAATATTCTGAAGGGGAGAGAGGACAGCAGGATTGAGATTGATAATGTCTGTAGAAGTATAGCTTTGACTGGCTTGGAGGTTGATGTCGTTGATTGGAGGTTTGTGTACAGGAAAGCAAATGGGGCTGCTCATCTACTGGCACATTTCTTCCATTTAATGTTCTTAGTGACAGGATATGGCATGGCAGTGTTCCTGGCCATAGAGACTGAAATTTGATTTCAATGAAATCGAGTTATTTCTAAAAGAAAAAAAGTGGAAGGACCGAGAAAAGGAGGGGAGAAGAATGGAACCCGTAGGCTGCCTTTCTTTTCTTTTCTTTTTTACCTTTTTTTATTTATGCGTTATTAATTAAATAACTATATACCAGACCCACCCAAACCCAATCATCTCAACCGGACAGAAGAATATGACTAGAGCTATCAAAATGTAACCCGACCCGAGTAACCCGCCCGATCAACACGACCCGCAATCCGATTTGACTAAGAGTCAATGACCCGTAACCCGCCCGACCCACAACCCGATCGACCAGCAACCAGACCAACCCGCAACCCGACCAACTCGCAACCTGACCAACCCGCAAACCCAACCACCCGCAACCCAGCTAACCCGAACCCGTAATCCGACCAACCCGCAGCCGACTAGAAGGAATTCGATGAAGATAAACCAAAAGTTGACATTTGAAATCCTAGTTCACTAAAGTCTGATCATTACATCATCAACCTATTAACGCATATAATATCATCAAATATTGATTTAGATACATCATCAACCTAATAGTGCACATAAAATCATTTGGGGTTCAGGGTTTAGACTATTTAGAGTTTTGATTATATGTTATCGAGTAAAGTTACAATTGAACTCACAACAATTTTTCTAAATTTTATAATTTAGTTTAATACAAAAATCATATAAACAATTAACTAGCTAAACAACAATTTCTCTATACATTTATATGAACAATTTCACTTGTTTTAAAAAAATTAAAAAACTATTTTTAAACTATTTTAAACTTTTCTCTCCAAATTAAAAAACTATTTTTAAACAATTTCTACTGCCCAAAAATTTGATTCCACCTTTACCATAAAAAAAATTCCCATAAAAAATATTTGATTCCCCCCACCCGCCGAGACCCGCCAATAATTCCCCCGTGTAATGTTTCCCCAAAATTTTGTTTCCCCCCACCTTTGAGTCTTTGACTTTGAGTAGTGATTCCTTTTTTTATACAAGTATTGTGCTAGCTTCATGTAGTTACGATTTACGACTTACTAGTAATCACTAATCACTAAAAAGTAATGCGATGTGCTTGTCCTTAAAACCCGCAACCCGAACCGCAACCCGATTGACCAGCACCCCATTGACCCGTAACCCGATTGGCCCGCAACCCGAGTAACCCGTAACCCAAGTCACCCGCAACCCGATCAACCCGAACCCAATCAACCCCTAATCCGATCGACCCACAACCCGACCAACCCGCAACCCAAATGAACCCAGCCCGAACCCGCCGATTGACACCTCTAAATATGATGACACCGTGCAGTTGCGGCACCATAGAATTCCCGCCCAAACAAACGTCATAAACGAGTCCACCTAAAACAATACCTCCAAGCTACACATCCTAACAGAGAAAACAAAACAAAAAGAAATGAGCCCCCACCCAAAGTACCGCCAACATGCCCCAAACCAAACAAAAAACGAGCCCAACAGACCAAATGGAGTTTTGTACTGTATTCTTGGTCATGGCGAGGTCCTACTACTAGCAGTGACTTTTCCAATAATCTATCACCACAATCGTGTACATATATTACTTGGTGGTTTGGATTACTCCGTGTTAAGGCCATATTTGATGAACTTCTCATTCTCTACCAGTTGGGAAAAACAGGGTTGAGGGTGGAAGAGGCATACAAGTTCTTGTCCTATGGCGATTGGATGAGTTCAGAGTTCAGACCATGTCTAGAATTGTTTGAAGGAGACATAAGTGACAACCCGGTCACTCATTTTTTATTTGCAAGATGTGAACATTGAATTAATGACATTTTTTAAGCATATATAGATATACAATTCAAACGTATCTCTACGCTGCTATCGATAAGATAAGCAACTCATGTTTTTATTAGGCGCCGTCTTTGTTTCTAAAAAGAGAAAACAATACATCAGACGAGTTCTGCTATCAGATGAAAACACCATGACAACCATGAGGACGTGCTAACAATCATAGCAAGTGTAGTAGCTCAAAACTAGAGCTCACGGGAGATGATGGTATCCAGCCAAGATAAAAACATAACTGCAATTTCTTACGTTGACAAAAAACACTAGAACCACGGGTTAAAGATCATTGGCATTTACTAGAAGTGCGTTTGCAGTACCAAATATCATCTGATTATTCAATGCTTATCTACAACATCATCTGAACATCCAATCAATATATCTTTTTAGCATATAACTGTATGTTAGTATGTAGGTTTGAACTTATCTGGCACATTAGCTTCAAGCTCAAGGTGGTCAGCGGGTAATTAATGTCAAGTCGGGCTAGTTAAATTGGGCCTCATGGTGGTTCTATTGGGCCTGCCAGCAGATCGAGCACAGGCCCAACTCCAGGTCGGGTGCTACGAGGGCAAATGCAACGCGACCGACGTGGAGTCCACGTTTTGCAGCGTGGTGTGCGAGAAGTACCACAAGCAGAAAGACACAACCCTCTTGTTTTACCAACATCACATTTTAAGCTTTACCGTCACTGTCAGTCTGTCACTTTGGCACAGCAAAGTGAAATGAGCTTTTACTTCTTTTCAAGAGCAATTTCATCATTATGTCCTTCCATTAATGCCAATTTCACCATAAATGAAAAATTAGTTTGTGCAAAATATTTATCTTCGAGACAATACAAGTTAACACCAAATAGAAGGCTCTTTCAAGCACGCCTTCAAACTTATCCATTTAGTTGATAACATAAGCAATTCAAACTTTATTAGGCGCTGATTTATTTCTAAGAAAAAAAAGATTGCATCCGACAAGTTCTGACATCATATAACAACATCATGACAATTACGAGGGTACAGTAACAATCATAGTAAGTGTTACTAAGTCAAAATAGGGCTTCGAGGAGATGATGGATATCTCCGGGTAAGAATAGAAGAAACAGTTCCTCACATTGATAGAGAGCACTAGAATCAAGAGTCAACAATGGTCGGCACTGATTAGAAGTATGTTCGCATGCTGAGTTATTTGTGTTAAGTACCATCCGGTCATTCAATGTTTATCTACTGAAACATTAAATTAATATCTTTTTTGGGATAACTATATATGGCTCTAACTTATCCGACCGCCATTGACAGCACACACAACTCTTGCTTTTATCAGGCGCCGTTTTACTTCCTACAGAAAGAAAACAATACATCAGACAAATTCTGCTATCATATGACAACATATATTACAATACCATGACGACTATAAAAGCACACAAACAATCATAATAAGTTTGCACTGACTCAAAGCTAGAGCTCTAACTCTAAGAGACGGTGTTTGGATATGGGGTAATATCCATTAATCTAAGGTCACCTGATTGAGAATTGGTGCTCTTTCAACAAGGGGCGGTAACTTCACTTACTGGTGGGTGTGAAATGAAACAAAGTGAAATGACAAATGTGCTTTTCCTTCTTCCCAACTGCAATTTCACCATGGTAATGACGAAACTGAAACCTCTGCCACCAAAGCACTCATACTCATGTTATAGTCATGCTCGCCGGTCAACCCACCGGCTCTTTCTTTCTTACCTACCCGCACAGCTTTGAGTTCCAAACTTCCATGTGCATGTCGGACCCCGTCAAACCCCGAGACAGGTTCGGATTACTCTATGTTAAGGGCGTATTTGATGAACTGCTCTTTCACTACCAGTTGGGACACATAGGCCTACAAGTTGCTGGTCTTGTTGCGGTATAATCTTGTGCTCAAATTAAGTTTTATTTCGATTGGTTTGCATTCTAAGATAAAAAATGCGAACATACTTCTAATCAGTACCGCTAGTAAGAATATGAGTTGCTTGACCCATTGAACGAGTTCAAATCAGGTTTGGCTCCATTCGATGGAGCCATTTGTTTGAGAAAAATAGCATATGGTGATTCAAGTATTATCTACAACACACGTGAGCATTAAATTAACGATTCCTTAAAGCATATGCATATATATGGTTCAAAATTTATCTCTTCGCCGCCAATGACAACATAAGCAACTCATGCTTTTATTAGGCGGCGCTTTTGTTTTTAAAGAAAGACAATAGTACATCAGACGAGTTATGCTATCAGATGACTACACGTCTACACCATGACAATTGTAAGAGCGTGTAGACAATCATAGTAAGTGTACTAATATTTATCTAAAACATATGTGAACATTAAACCAATGTCTCTTGTTAGCAAAATTGTATATAGGTTTGAACTTATATGGCGGCTAGTGACAACACAAGAATCACACGCTTCTATTAAGCATCGATATCCCTTTTAAGAAAAAACAAACAAGACACAAAGACAAGTTCTATTATCATCAGCAAACATATACTACAACAACATTATAACACCATGACGATGATAAAAGCACACAAACAATTTGTACTAACTCAAAACTAGAGCTCTAACTCTAAGAGATGTAGATACTCCCACTTCGAAACAGAAACTCGGTGGTAAGCGCCAGTCTCTACTCTCTGAAACCTCCAATACTTCGCTGTGATTCAGGCCTTTGAACTCCTCTGCATTTCTTCCACATTGAAACATGGAAAACCCAATTCCTTCCACAGCAGCAGCCATGGAAATGGAACCCAATTCTGCAGCAACAACCCATGAAAATGGAAACCGAAACCATGGAAAGCCGCCTCCCAAATTCTCCCTCCCGGTAGACACAGAGCACAAGGCCACGAAATTCCCACTCTACAATTTCGCGGCGCCCCAATCATCTCTCCTGGGTCTCCTTCTTCGCCTGCTTCGTCTCCACCTTCGCCGCGCCTCCTTTACTCCCAATCATCCAGAACTGGGTTGATATCGGGTACGGCGGCATCGCCTCCGTCACTGGCGCCGCTTTTGCTCGCATCGTGATGGGTACCGCCTGCGACCTGGTGGGCCCCCGGCTCGCCTCCGCTTCCCTCGTCCTAATCACCGTTCCGGCGGTGTTCTTCACTCCCATGGTTTCCTCCACTGTTTCGTTCATCCTCGTCAGGTTCTTCACCGGGTTCTCCCTCGCCACTTTCGTCTCAACCCAGTTCTGGATGAGCTCCATGTTCTCGTCCCCGGTCGTCGGAACCGCCAACGGGGTCGCCGCCGGGTGAGAGAACCTCGGTGGCGGAGCCACCCAGCTCGTCATGCCCTTCGCCGTAACCCTAATCCGCCGCTCCACTGGGGCAGCCAAATTCACCGCCTGGAGGATTGCTTTCTACGTCCCTGGTTTGTTCCAGATGCTGACGGCCTTCGCGGTCTTGATCCTCGGCCAGGACTTGCCCGATGGGAATTTCCGGCGGCTGGAGAATTCAGGGGACAAAATCGCGGCTGGAGAATTCTGGAGAATTTCGCAGTTGATTCCTTCAGTGTTCGTTGAAAAAATCGCGGGGAGAGTTCGTCGAACTCTGCGATTCTAAAGGTCCCAAGTGGGCTGACCTGGACGGTGGGTCTGGTGAGGGATAGGGGTGGGCAAACGGTTCGGTAAACCCGAACCGAACCGAACCGAAACCGAACTAAACCGAACCGAAACCGAATTAATGTTATTCGGTTTGGAATTCGGAAGGAAAATATGGATAGTTCGGAAATCAGGGTTCTTTCAACCGAACCGAATTTTCGAATTTCCGACCGAAAAACCGAAATACTATAATTGCAAGCTTCAAATGGTGGATTTTTATGTTTGTAGTTGTTTTAAGACTTAAATATTTGAAATATTTTATGACTTATGTGTTGAAAAGTTTGGTTTTATCATTGATGATGCATATAATTGATATTTATTGTTTATATTATGGGTGAAAAATAATTTAAAAGTGAGAAAATACAAATAGTATCAAACAATCGGTTTTGTGTGAAAACCGAACCGAACCGAATTATAATTCGGTTTAAACCGACCGAACCGAATTATAATTCGGTTCGAATTCGGTTTGAGGTTTGGGAGAATTCGGGGACCCGGTATTCATAATTTCGGTTCGGTCGAAACCGAACCGACCGAATGCCCACCCCTAGTGAGGGATGAAATCGGGGTCTGGTTTTAGGAATGGATGGCAAGATTTTGCAGAATTTCACTCGTTGAAATATGAGCATTTCCTGGTTTCCGACTACAAGGGCTGCTGTAGTTCCTTCAGATGTCTTGACGTTAAAATATGTTCTTGCTGCTGTAGTTGGGTTGTGAATTCTTCCTTTGTGTGTCATCACAAAATGTAGGAAATTCGGTGGAGTTGGGAATCAAAAAGGGAGAGGGTGATGGAGATAAGATGATCCACACATATTTTGACTGCCGGATCACTTCGAGTAGTTTGTCAAGGAAGCAATTGGTGCGTTGTAACCTCGACTGAACTTTTTTCAGCTAGAATATGGGAATTGTCGGGCAGTAGTGTGATGAGAATGGCTACTCTAGGTTTGTGTTTGTTTTCTGAACTCTTGAATACACCTATAACATGAACTATCCATGACCTTTTGAATTTTTGCATTAGGATTTTCAGGTAGGCACAATGGGAAAGACGAGAAGTCGGTGAAGCTTCAGGTTGCGGATAAAACTTGGCCAGTGGCACTAGGTATAGGTACACGAAGGACAAGTATGTGTACTTCATAGTTCATTGATGGCTGGCATGGATTTGCAGAGGGAAACTCGCTGAAACAAGGAGACATTTGCATCATTCGAAGGTGGACTAATGTCATGCGGAAAGTCACCATACGAAAATCTTGATTTGCTGCCCAGTTGCTAACTTCAAATACTTTCTCCTGCATTCTGTTTGTGTGGAGGTTTGCAACCAAGGACAGTGTATATAACTTAATTCCTGTTGTGTATTAACTGAGGATGACTTCTGTTGCAAAGTTCCAAATGAAGCTTTAGATCTTTCGTTTCTTTTAGCAGTCACACAAATCGCAGTTGAGTCTGCCTGCTATATCTTCCTGTTTTCCATGTGTGCTAGATTACTCTGGGCATTCAAACTGTGAGATGAATAAACTCCATTCTCTGATACCTGTTCTTGATGATAATGGTTAAGCAATGGAGTGTTGGCAGCATAGAGGCAACATGCAGAAGAAAGCGGAGTTGGCAAAAATTGATACAAAGAATTACTTCAAAAGATTCTTGCCCAGAAAGAAAATAATAAATCACACTCCCACCAAAGCATCCATAGTCCTACTTGCGGGTCAACCCGCCGGCTCTTTCTTTCTTACTTACTTCACCGCACAGCTTTAGAGTTTAGACTCACTTTTGATCGCCCTAAATCAAATAAATTTACCAATTTGTCTAATTAATTACCAATTTCAAATTATATTCTATAAACCAAACATGCCACTGCACTCTCCTAAGGACAAATCCAACTTCCTCTCCCCTGCATTACCCAAGCCGACAAATCCATCTTTTCTCCCTCTTCCCTGCATTCTCGAGAAACTCCCAAAATCCCACCTCGTCGACCCTTGCCTCTGACACGCATCTCGCCGGTGGGTTTGCACAGGCCGGGCATCTGGTCGCCCGCGCCGACGCGCCCCTTGTTGCCGGAGAAGATGACTGGAAAAGGTAAGCTTTCGATCCATCCGTCCGTCTCATGACCTGAAAACCCATATGTTCAAAACCTGAAAACCTCTCTGTTCTCCACTGGCCGGAGGGTCGAGAGATAGAAAAGCGGTCGTTTATCCACTGGTCGGAACGCAGCGACGTGGTTGTTTGCCCTTTGGCCGAACGCAGCGACGTGGTTTTTTGCCTCTGGTCAGAAAGCAGCGCCGAGCGGGTTTAACCATTGGTCTAACACAGCTAAGCTCTCGTTTATCCTATGGTCGAAAAGCTGCAGTGCCCGTTATTAACCTTTGGACAAAACGTAGAGGAGCAGGCGATTGACCGCTGGTCGAAAAGGCAAACGCATGTGTTTAACCACTGGGCAAAATGCCATGTAGAAAGTGATCGACCATCAGTTAAATCTCATTTTGACCCTTCCTTTGACCGCGGGTTGACCTCTATTTTATGAATGTTTGACCATTATTGAAAGTATTTAGGATTTTATTTAGCATTGATGATGCTAGACTTGTCAATAATTATTTGCAGTTTAGAATTTTAATTAACAAGGTTTGACGATTGGTGGACCCGTGATTAACTCTTTATTTACAATTGTTAATGAATTTCAAATTTAGAAATTGGATCACGTGAACATTACACGTTGATATTCAACATTCTTAGGTATGTATTTTATAGTTTATAAAGTTAACATAGTTATAAGAAAAACATTTGACCTGGATTTGTAAATGATAAATATTATGATTGTAATTGATTAATTTACAATTAATTTAATTTCAGGAGCTTCATCAACCTAGCTCTACCCTACCGTCCTCTACTCGCCATGAATAGTGATAGCGATTCCAATGAGGTATTTATGTTACGAACTAACTTATTTCAGTACAAATGTTCATTATGAATGAACTTTATTGTTGCAATCTATTTAAGCAATTTAATTGAACTTTGGGTGGTTTCTAGCATGAGTGTTACATGTTAAGGTGAATGGACTTTATTTGTTACAAAGTATTTACGAGTTTTTTATGTTAATTTAAATTGCATAGAGACTTTTGGTTGAATAAATGTTATGTTAGGTTGAATGAATTTTATTTTTTATACAAATTTTAGGAAATTGATAGAAGCTCTCATTCGGGTACACACCGACATTCGTTAATGGGGTTAAATACAATTCAGCAATAAAAGCCTATGAAGCAGCATGTGAAATAGGCATGAGTTTAATTAGGGTTATATTTAGTGAGGACGTCGAACAAAAAAAATCCAAACGAAAATAGTCGACGATATTATTTTACATGCACTCATGGTAAGAAGAGAAAGTCCAACCCTTCTGATTCGACAGTTGAAAAGCGAGAATTTACTTCTTCGAATAAGATTGGATACCAGTTCCAGATCAAGGCTGAGCGGCCAAAAAATGAAGTGAGTTGGCTGATTATGGGAATGACCAATATGGACGATCCAAGTCAATATAGCGGTTTCCCCAATCATCCGTTGGAGCTTTTTCGGGAGGGGGCACGGAAAGGGAATGTTCTCACCCTGGAAGACATGGAATTAATCCGATCCGAGAGCTTAAATCATTTGGTATCCCAACAAGAAATATTTTAGAGACAGTGAATAAGAGAAAAGGAGAAGAAGCTCACCACACCAAAAAACAATTTTACAATGCTTTGGCAAAGATAAAGAATGAAGAACTATTATGTACATTATATGGAGGAAGTTAACATGCTTACACATTTGATTCTAGCGCATCCTGTTTCGTTTAAAATGTTAAGAGTTTGGCACCATGTCATTGTGATAGATGCAACATGCAAGACCAACAAGTCTGAGTTTACATAGGTTGAGATTGTTGGCATGACACCGATGGGTCTGAACTTCATCATTGCATTTGTTTTAGTGTACGATGAGACAAAGGAGTCCTACGAGTGGATTTTGAGGCACTTGCAATTCATTCTTGGATCTATCATTCCACATGCGGATAGTCAGTGACAAGGCAGGATACGAATACAATGGTTTTAGATTTTTCAATTCTCGACATCTTAAAAAATATACAATGCTATTATTAGAATTTTAGGATATGAATTGAAAACATATTAAATAACATTTAATTAGTTACATATAAAGTTCAAATAATATTTTATCTCGTGTTCTTTGAATTATTAGTAATATTAATTTCATGGTAAAAGGGATTACGTCCTTTATAAATAATTAAAATATAAATTAAATTAATAAAACGAATGATTTGCTAAGTTTGCTCGCTGGTCAAACTGGATCTTCTTGTGTATAAAGTTCAATGGACATACTCAAATCCAACTAAATTTAATGAAATTCTAAAACTTAACAAGATATATTCAACCGATGCACCAGACCAGAACAAATTTAATTATATAAACAAATAATTAAAATATAAAATAAATTAATAAAAAGGGACGGTGGGCAAGGCGGGTTTGACGGGGCTACTCACGGGTCAAAAATAGATCAAAACAACTGATTGACCTTCGGTCAAACGTTGTATAAATATTGATTCGGCGGCCGCACAAAAAAGAATAAATGGCCCGTTGGAAGGACGGGTAGACGAGGGGAACTTCTCTCGTTCTGTCGGGCGGAGAAACAGAGATGAATGGCCGGTTGGGAGGATGGGTACACGATGAAAAATTCCAGGTCTGTCGGACGGTGGACTAGGCGAAATGGCCGGTTGGAAGGATGGGTAAAAGAGGACAGATAATCGATTGAATGGAAGTTCAAATGAGAACAACAAATTTGGTTGTCCGACAGTCAAAACAGGGTTTGGGGAGGATGTACCTCTGCTTGGGATGATCTCTTCTCCGACGAAAGGGAAGCAGTTGCTTTGAGATTCGCCGGTCGGACAATCTTCTCTGCTTCGTCCTGCCTGAAAGAGCATACGCAAAGCAGAGCAAGTAAGAGCTCTATGACACATGGACATGGATGAAGAAACAACGTTTCTTCCTTCCCTGAAAATTTCACCATTCCGCCACGCTCTCTCTCTCCCCCTTACCTCGTTTCTTCCTCCCCTCAAAATCTAACAAAAGACAAGGACTTTGCCCTCCATAACCTTAATCATCTCCTATGGGCTATTGGGCTAACGAAGAGGCGGTGAGAACAATGACGGTTGCGGAGCGGCGGTCAGGAAGGAATCAAATCGATGGTGAGACGAGATGGCCGGCGGCGGCTAGTATGGATAGAGGAGTTGCAGAGGGTTGATTCAGGGATGGGGAGGATTTGGCCGACACATGAACATGGATGAGGGTTGCGGAGCGGCGGGGAGATTCAGGGAGGATATGGTCGGCTACTGATGGGCTAAACCGAGGGTTGGGTGGATGTTTGGGAGAGAGATGAGGGTAGCGGAGCGGCGGGGAGTTTCAGGGATGAGATCAGCGGTGGCTGGGATAAACAGAGGGTTGGGTGGGGGTTAGGGAGAGAGAATGTGAAGTTCTTAGGGGGAGGAGAGAGGATCGGCTTGTTACGGTGGAGAGAGTAGGGGATTGTTTGTTTATGTTTTAATTTGAAAATTGAATGTTATAAACGCGCGGCTACGGATTGGGAAATCGCCGGAATCGACAAAGTAAGAATACGAAAGCGAGAATCGAAAACAAGACACACGATTTACGTGGTTCACTAACACGATGTGTGTTAGCTACGTCCATGGGCGAGAGAGAGCCGATTTCACTATATCAAGGAGATTACAGATTACAGAGGAGTATGAGAAGTATTTATAGTACTTCTCCATGTGGGTCTAAACCTAATCCAATCTGCCAAAGGAAACGGTTACCAGTCGTAGCGGCTGATAGTCCGATTCAAGTCACATCAACAATTCTCCACCTTGACTTGAATCCTCTTCCTCTGAAATCTCTGATGTACTCTGCTCCTTCTCTCTCTCCCGTCATCAATGCCCCGTAGGTCGGAGTCACCCACTCAAGACATTCAGCAATTCCAAGCAGTGTTGGAACTTGCCATGTGGAACCGGCTTCGTGAACATATCAGCAGGATTATCCGCGGTGCCAACCTTCTTCACCTTAATCCTCTTCTCTGTCCTCAAGAAATGATACCTCACATCGATGTGCTTAGTCCTCTCATGGTGGACTTGATCCTTGGCCAAGCATATTGCACTCAAACTGTCGCAATACACCACTGCCTGATCATGATGTAGACCCAGATCACCAACCAGTCCCTTCAACCATATTCCCTCCTTAGCAGCTTCTGTCAACGCCATATACTCTGCCTCAGTAGTAGACAATGTCACCGCCGACTGCAGAGTTGCCTTCCAGCTCACTACAGAACTCCCAAGAGTGAATACATAACCGGTCATCGATCTCCTCGTGTCAACATCTCCAGCATAGTCCGAGTCAGAATACCCAGACACCAAGCACTCTGTATCACTTCCGAAGCTAATCCCCACATCAGGTGTACCCTTAAGGTACCGGAAGATCCTCTTCACAGCCTGCCAATGCTCCTTCCCAGGTTGTATCATAAACCTGTTGACAACACTAACAACATGTGCAAGATCAGGTCTAGTGCATACCATAGCGTACATCAAGCTACCTACTGCACTAGCATATGGGACTCTCGACATATACTCCTTCTCAGCCTCTGACTGCGGTGCATAAGCTGAGGATAGATGAACATTTGAAGCACTAGGAGTATTTAAGGGCTTTGCTGAAGACATGCCAAACCTCGACAATATCTTCTGGATGTAGCTCTTCTGTGACAAGAAAAGCTTCTTCTTCGACCTGTCCCTGTAAATCTCCATGCCCAAGATCTTCTGAGCAGCTCCCAAATCCTTCATCTCAAACTCAGCACTGAGAAGCCCCTTTAACTTCTGGACATCAGACTTTGACCTCGCAGCTATGAGCATATCATCCACATACAGAACTAGATATACCATCAAACCATCCTCTGCCTTGCTGTGATATACACAACAATCATATGGACTTCTGCTGTAGCCCAGCTCAAGCATGTAACTGTCAAATCTCTTGTACCACTGCCTCGGAGATTGCTTAAGTCCATACAAGGACTTCTTTAGCTTACAAACATAGTCTTCTTTTCCAGGAACCTCGAATCCTTCTGGCTGAGTCATGTAAATTTCTTCCTCCAACTCTCCATGTAGGAAAGCTGTCTTCACATCTAGCTGCTCGAGCTCCAAGTCATAATGTGCCACTATTGCTAGTAGCACTCTGATCGAAGTATGTCTGACCACTGGTGAGAAAATCTCATTGTAGTCAACTCCTTCCCTCTACGAGAAGCCTCGTGCAACCACCCGAGCTTTAAATTTCATGCCCTCTTTAGAAGTGATTCCTTCCTTCTTCTTGTAGATCCACTTGTTTGTAACAATCTTCCTTCCCTGTGGTCGTTTGACTAGCTCCCAAGTCTGATTCCTGTCATGGGATTCCATCTCATCTCCCATTGCGGCAAGCCACTGATCAGCTTCACCACCCGAAACTGCTTCTCTATAGGACTGTGGCTCTCCTGCATCCACTTCCTCAGCAACCTGAAATGAATACGCCACCATGTCCTCAAAGCCATACCTCTATGGAGGTACTCCTGCAGTCGCTCTCTTCGGTCTACCGGAAGCAATAGACTGTTTGGCTCATGCACTGGACTCTGAAGTTTCTGGCTCTGCAGAGACATCCTCATCATGTTGATCTTCTCCACCTTGGTGCTCAAACTCACTCTCATTGAGAGTTTGCAGTTCCACCTGCTTATCAACATTCCTGCTACCTTCAACAACAGTAACCTTCAACATGGGGTTAAACATAGACTTATCATCAAATATCACATTTCTACTGAGTATAACTCGATGCTCGGAAGGTGACCAGACTCGAATCCCTTAACTCCATCTCCGTAACCCACAAATACACCCTTCTTTGCCCTTGGGTTCAGTTTACCCTCATCCACGTGATAATAAACAGGACACCCAAAAACTTTCAGTGAAGAGTAATCAGCAGGCTTACCATACCACACTTCATAAGGAGTCTTACACTCGATACCTGTGTGTGGTCCACGGTTGATCAGGAAGCACGCCATGTTTACTGCTTCTGCCCAGAATCTTCTCTCTAGTCCAGCATTAGAGAGCATGCACCGTGCTCTCTCCAACAATGTCTGGTTCATCCTTTCTGCAACGTCATTCTGCTGGGGTGTATCTCTAACAGTCCGATGACGGGCAATCCCTTCATCCTTGCAGAAATCGTTGAACTCAGAATTTCAGAACTCCAGACCATTGTCCGTTCGCAGCTTCTTGATCTTCTTACCGGTCTGATTCTCCACCAATGTCTTCCACTGCTTGAACTTCGTGAAAGCCTCACTTTTCTGCTTCATCATGAACATCCAAGTAAATCTCGAATAATCATCAATAATAGACAGAAAATACTTGCTGCCTCCAATGGATTCAACTCGTGAAGGACCCCAACAGTCGGAGTGGAGGTAATCCAGTATCCCCTTCGTCCGGTGGATACCCTTCTTGGGAAGCTTGCTGCGATGTAGCTTCCCAAATACACAATGCTCACAGAATTCCAAATTCTACACCTTGTGCCCGCAAAGAAGATCCCTCTTCGACAGAACTTGCATCCCTCGTTCACTCATATGCCCCAGTCTCATGTGCCAGAGAGTGGTCATATCTTCCTGTTGAACCTGAGACGATGCAACTGCAGCAGAACCAGACAACACAAACCCTTGTAATGCATACAAGGTCCCACGTTTCACGCCCTTCAGCACCTTCCTTGAACCTTTGCAGACATACACAACTCCACCTTTTCCTTTGAAGCTGAAACCCTTGCTGTCGAGCAGACTCAAGGATATCAGGTTCTTTGTCATTCGTGGAACATGCCTGACATCATTCACGGTACAGAATGAACCATCATGTGTCCGAACCTTTATGGACCCGATTCCAACAACCTTGCAGACAGCTCCATTAGCCATGACCACGTTACCACCATCTATCTGCTCGTAGGTTGTGAAGCAATCCCTGTTAGGAGACATATGGTATGAGGCTGCAGTATCCAGAAACCACACATCACCACGATGTGCCTTCTCATCTACAGCCAAGGCGAGATCGTCTTCAGAACTGTTGTCCACTTCTGCCACGGCAACTGAACCTTGTTTCTTCTGTTGCCCACTTCTCTTGGGACAGTTGTACTTCCAATGCCCCACTTCCTTACAGTTGTGACAAGCATCACCTGGCTGTGGACCGGGACCCTTGGAATTCTTGCTCGAATTCCCTTTACCAGATTTCTTCTTTCCCTTTCCACCTGTAACAGCCAAACCCGATGCCTCACCACCTGTACCAGATCCGGACGCCTTATGTCTGATCTCTCTCGTATGAAGAGCAGACCTTACATCCTCCAACGACACGCTTTCTTTACCGGCAATAAAAGAATCAACGAAATTCTCATATGAACTCGGCAAAGAAACCAGCAGGATTAGGGCAGCATCCTCGTCATCAACTTGAACATCTATATTACGCAGATCCAGCAAAATAGAGTTAAGCTGTTCGAGATGTTCCCTCAAAGGCGTACCTTCTCGCATCCTCAAGCTGAACAACCGTTGCTTGAGATGCAGCTTGTTGGTTAGAGACTTAGTCATGTACAGACTCTCTAGTTTCAACCACAAGCCCGCGACAGTCTTCTCAGCAGCGACTTCAATGATGACGTCATCAGACAACGATAGCATGATGGTCGAGTGGGCCTTCTCCTCCAGGGTATTCCACTCATCGTCATCGACCGCTGCCTTCTTCTGTTTCACAGACAGCGGCCCCCACAGCCCTTGTTGTTTCAATAAAGCCTGCATCTTGATCTGCCATATAGCGAAGCTGTTCTTCCCCGTGAACTTTTCGATCTTCATGTTCACCGACGTCATTCTTCTGAATCGAAAACCCTA